GTCAACTTTTGCCAGCTTCCTTGTGAACGACTGAAAAAGGGTATCCAACCCGGGGGCACCAATTCGCACTACAGGTCTAGTTCTTAGCCTCGAAGCCGGAAAGTGTGTAAATACTTTCGTACCTTCTATTTTAGCATCTTCACACAAACAGCATGAATACATTATAAACTTCAATCTTTCTCATTTATTGGTAATGCGCGCACTATTCATTTATCTCTTAATAACCTTTTGCATCAAACTTGTTTCGTAATCAGTAATATTTGCTTCCGTGAAAGCAATAACTCAATGTCTTATCGTACATTTGGCTTTTTATTTCATCGGCCTCTTTGCTTTGTTCGGGTGCGTTGGTCGCTCCAAACTTTCTGTTTAAAAACGCCATTTCCAGGGCTAACGCTATGGCTTTCACCCATTTTTCGCTGTCTACGTTATCAATATGTGTATTTATATTTCAATACTTCCAACAGAGGAGCTGAAAGGGTGAAAATAAGAAGAGAAACAGAAGAGCAGTGCGGAAAATGTTACCCTTCACTTTATCATGGTCCTTAATGCTTCAGTAAAAATCACACACATTAGGTAACCACCACACTACAGATGTAGTCGTCAAATGTGAAATGATGAGACGCTTGATGGAGCTGTTTACTGGGCTGATAAGAGGCGCAAAGTGACTCTGATCATCACAGCTCCCTACTTTTAGATAAATGTTATGAAGCGTATATCACATCGATTTGTCCAGATGATTATGGTTCGCAGTAAACTCCCTTAATGTTATGACATGAATGGCGCAACATGTGACGAGCTTAGCTCGTGCTAAACCAAGCTATCTCACTACCTTGCGCCATCTCTCTCTCAACACTCGGGACGAGATGCGAACACGGCAACGTCGGCGCATTGACAAAAGGATGCGAGGATGTTACGAGGTTCGCGATTTCGTCGCGACAGACGCGAAATGAAATGGCGCGCAAAATATGAGAAGCATGTTGCGATAGCTCAGCTCAAACATGCCACGTTCCTCACTCTACATGGGCAGTTAATTGCAGGCTACACATCAAAGACGCTATTTCATCAGCTGACAGTGCAAAAACTGTGTGAACTTTCAAAAAAATAGCTGTAGTTATGGCCTCGATCACAAGAATTTTTCTCGGAGCTTCCAGTTTTAGACCAGTGTTGAATTAGCGAAGTAACTGTCTCTTCTGCTTTTTTTTGAATTTACGCGCGTCGAGTTTCTCTTACTTGATTGGTATGCAGCAGTTTTGTTTTTTTTTTCTAGACTCAAGTTCTTTTTTGATCAATTTTCCACAATTTAATGCGTGCTCAAATCCGAGTCACTGTGATTGTTGCCGAGGTGGATCAAGCAGACCAAGACAACACAGTACGCCTCTTATCCTTTCATACTTGCAGGTAAACACTCAAACTACGAGCTTTCTGATAAAATATATTAAGAAGGTTACCCTTCTCTTTACAATGACATTCGCATTTTGCATACGTACCCTTTAAAGGAGAATGAGCGATTTCTTTCTAACTATATGGTGCAAAGGTTTCTTTGGAAGAGGTTTGGTAACAATTCATAAAGAAAACAAATAGGGAAGATGAAAAGATTGATGAGTAGTAACAAAACCAAGATAAGGAACTGAAACCTCAAATAAGTCGTTTTGAGTTGTACAAGGTAAAAATGCTCAGATGAGCCAAATCATTGCAAAAGAAGTCAACGAATTTTTACCATTTGAGATCCGCTAGTGTACCCGCTGAATACTTTATGAATTGTGGCTCAAAGGGTTTACCTCTTGTAAAGATTTATATTAGGTGTCTTTAATGTTTGTGGTGCAATATTTATTCTATTGATAACATAGTGATTCTTAGCGCTGTAAGATCGCTTATCGCAAGTTGACAGAGTGGATAGCATATTTTGCGTCTCCTCAAACCTACTGAGAAACCTCATGCCATGTTCGCTAGCAGCTCACGCCACTTTCGGAGCTGCCAAGAGGCTCTTTTTGTTATGACAAATTTGGGTGGATTACTATCATTCCTAATATCAAAAGATTAATGATTTAAAGCCACTACTCTAGCGAGTTGTCACTACATGCAAAATAACTCAAGATCTTCAAAAAATGAATGTAATAATCGCTCAATGATCGCATGAAATTGATAGAATAAAATGCTGGTCTTACGGATAAGCTTGTTTTGGTTTGAGTATCAAAATCCACAACTAGTTCCATATTTGCTGACACTTAGAGCAAAATTATTACTGTGAATAACTGCTATAAGGAAAGCTTCTAGCTTTTGTGGGTAAGCAAGCTAATGTTGCTTTATAGGATAAGGTGAGCAGAAAGTTAACTAACTGTTTAGTTGCTTCAGTAAGAAAATAATACAAAGAACTGTGAACGTTCTAAGCAAAGCTCCAGAGTTGTCTCACTTACCCCCGTATAGAGACAACTGGCGAAAGACCCTCAGCTTGAGAAGCGTCTTGGCACATGAAAAGATCTTGATACAAGCAAGATTTGAATCTGTAGCGAAGTGCTCTTCTGGATATCATTGCGTAGTCTTGAATGGAAGGCTTACATGACTACAAACCCAGCGCGGCGATTAATGAGCGGTCTCATTCGTATCAATTTTACACTCCTATGACGAATGCTGAACCCTTGATAGACGTTTTTAGGTCCCAAAAGCAAATTGATCCACCTGGTTAGATAATCCACTTCTACCCTTTGACATGAGACAATCTCTAGCCATGTTACAACGTAATGTGAACAAATGACTTAAAGAGTTGTTGTAATAAGTTCCGGATAAACATATGGAAAGCCAACGATTGTATGGACCCAGGATTTCTTGTTGACTTTCACTTATCTAGTAGAACTTTTGAAAAAAATAAAGGAACATGCTTATGGATTCTGCTTGCAGGCTTACATTATCCTTAACGATAGATGAATAGACTATAGCTGAATTGATATGAAGGGAGAAATTACATGTTACGCGTCCACTCAACTTCAATACCTTTTGCTCGAAGTCGTGACCATTTTCTCGTAAAAACAACCCTGAGTACATTGTGGCAGTTGAAATTGAACCAAAGATACCAACTCTGTTCAAGTACACCTTCCCATTCTTTTCACAGTTTTTAATATGGGGTTAAAAGCAGCTCGCAATCCATCAGGATTTTGCATTTGAAAGTGTCATGACCAATAAGTTCTTGCTGTTGAAGAACATTTTTCGATTGTATGAAGAGCGGGCTACACAGTTATCGAGGAGAAAGAAGGAGGTGAGACGTAACACTATTTGGAAGCAAACGTAAGCAAACAAATGAGTAACAATAGATAAAAACCATTAGTAAACTTAACTGACCTGACTAAGATAAACAGCAATGATAATTCTGATGTGAAGCTCTTTCATAGTCCATATCACATCTGTGTACTCAAAGTCTAGTAGCAAACTCGCTTCGTTTTCAAAAAATCAACTGGCAGAGTCAATATGGCATTCACCAAAAACCACCCACATTTTTTCTATGAAATAAGTAACAGGAAGGTCAAACAATTTGGCCCATGTACAATAAATAGGAAATTTGTAAAAAGTAACACATTGAAATAAGAAATGTAGGTTACAAAATAATCTTGATCATAATCTGCTTCAGAAAAGAAAAGGTCTTCAGCTTACCAAGTTTTGCAAATTTTTTTCGTGCATATTTACTCAAAAAATTTTGAGAGAAAAGTCTTCACTTACTTAGAGCTACGTTTTGAGTATTCAGTTTAGCTTTTGAATCACCTTTATCTATTAATATTACACATGAAAAATATCACTATTAATCTGAATAAATTAAGGCTTCATACTTAAGACTCGTATTAACAAATTAATTACAGTGGAGTTTTTTCTAAAATTATCCTATGATGTAAATGTTATCTTTCCAAGTTATGTAGTGGAGACGGGTCGACTCGTTCTTGCGGTTTGTCATCTGTTGGGATGTTAAGCTCCTGCGTCGGTCTGTCAAACCATTTCGTGTATAAGACAACTGATGCACAAAATATCGGCTTCACAACATTTCGAACGTACCTAGGCATGTGTTATCAAAACAGAAAGAAAAAATACGGATTTTGATTGTTTTGCTTATTTACAGTGTAACGTCTGTGACTGTGTGTGTTTGATCAGCTCTACAGTAAGATCATTAGGCCACACATAAGTTTTTTTTAGCATTTAGGCAAATTCAGCGCAATGAGTAGTATTTGGAAATGTTATGAGACTACTCTTCATCCGCAAAAAGTTTATGATCAATCAATTCAGAATTCCACGAAGGGAGTGCAGTTATCAATATAGATGATGTACCAACTATTGCTATTGAAATACCCACCAACTATTGCTACTAGAAAGGCACTGGCAGAAAATTCTGTCTGCTTCTTGCCTGTCTAGATGAAGGCCATCGATTAGAGCATCGTGCTCTATGCAACATCTGTCAACTCCTGAAAACAATTTGCAACTTGCTAGCGTGATGACTGTAGATTTAGAGAGGAGTGTGTTATTACCCATTACGTCGGATGGCAGTGCGATTATGTATGACAGTGCGCTGCTAACAGGACCAATTCCACATTTCCATGCTTCTGCGCCTATCATCTGCATAGCAAGCAACAATGACGTGAGGGGAAAATGCATACTATCTGCAAAGAGATCTATAGTACAAAGTTTATTGCTAGAGCAGAAGTGTGATTCTTTGAAAATTATGTGTACGCGCTTGTGTTGGAGAAGTGCAGAGAAGCACAACGTTGTATCAGCCGGAAATGACCAGACTGACCGTTGGATACGGGATCATATTGATGAGTCCACAAGATTGGCAGATAGAAAAGCCTGTGTTGGTAGCAAGAAATAAAAATTTCAAGAGTATTGTTTGGCTTTCGCCAAGCCACATCTCGCGCAGCACTGTTGTACCATGATATAACAGAAATTTCAATTAATTAGACGGAAATACAGAGGCTATATAATGTAGACAAATGGAATGTTAACATGATCCAGCTAAGCACGAACTACCGAGTTTTTCGATCTAATCTATTCAAGAGATTTTACAAGACCGGAAATTCAGTCAAATAAGAAAATTTAGGGAAGAGCAATCATATACGAGGTGAAATACTTCGACAGATTAACTTCATCTCGTGCATATATTAAAACACCGCATCGACCCGATTATCAAGTAAAATATTCAATAGTGTTTTTCATGCGACTGGCTGATATCTGTCGAAAGCTACGCTTATAGAACATGGAGTCTTGTGGTTTATGAGGATCCTTTTGGGAAAACGAAGGCAGTGAATGTTGAGAAAAAGTTAAAGTGTATCGTGAACTCTCGTAAACTCAGCTAGTCGATCAAATTGATGTGTCCTCAATCTTACACTGGATAGCCAAGATCAGTTGTCGTACTGCCGCACTAGAAAAAAATAGAGAGCTGAATTTTCGGCTGAAAACTTGCTGCAGAGCTGCCAAGACTTTGTAGCAGCGACTGAGTGAAATCAGTGCTATAGCATGAAGTGAAACCGGTAGTAATTTGGTAAGTGCTTCGTTATGACTCATATTGGATCTACGTGTACTTAACTGAACAAACTTTAACAGTATGGTGCACTATTTGCAGAGGCATCAAAGTTGATTGCGGCATAGGAAAGAAGACTTTTAGCTATTTTGAATGACAAGTACATGAGGAGCGAACATCGTTCTAATCAGAAGTATGCTCCAACGCTTCGATCATGTATATGTTCATTTTAAGAATGAAATTGTTCATCATTTAAAGTAAGCCAGAGTGACAACAAAGACAGTCAAAAGAACTTGTCCAGATTTGCGATCCTTCACTTGCCCATGCATCTCATACTTGGAATAAAAGCAAACAAATGTCGAATGCTAATTATCATCTCAACTGTTTTGACTTGTGCAGACACTCTGGAGCTTTTCTACAAAGTAGCGTGATTCTTGAAAAAATGCGTTTCAAAAGTTTGGTGAACAAATGAACAATGAAATAATAGATAAACTCCCAGCTACATGAATATTAACAAAATTCAAATTAAGCGTTCGTTCCCTAATTAGGAATTGAGGAACTATTACGTGGTTGAAGGCTATTATGTAGCACAGTATCTTCCTGGGTATTATCCTCAACTCTATCTTATCTTCTATCCAATGTTCGCTCTAGAATCCGTACACTTCTCTTTTCGCTTTGTGACTGAGGGTAAAAGAGGTGATTAGTTATAGCTCTCGCTTGCAGGTTAAGCAAAACGATTTGTGAGTCTAAGATTGAGCATTTTTCAAGTACATAAGAGTACTAATCAAATAACTTATCAATATCAAAGCAGCAATCTCTTTAGTGCAAACAATAATAAAAGAAATCAAAGTTAGCTGTGATGGATGATACTAGACAGATGGGAGAGAATAATTTTAGGAAAGTCGCTCACATTAGCAAGTCTTTTCTCCTAGAAAGAAAAATTATTAGAGTTCAAGCCAATGATAGATCTCCATAAGTATGATGATATCTGTAGAAATAAATACATAATAGGGTTGTATGTATTTATTTCAGCCAACGACCAGTGAAATGATAATATGTTGATAAACAAGCTCATCGACAAT